CCTAGATTTGATGAAATACGAGTATTTATGCTGCTTCTCAGCAAGAGATTTTTCATTGGTCATTTTTTATCTCCTTGAGTTTAGGTTTTATGCTTAAAAGGTGGTTGGTTTAATTGTTAAGTTTCGGTCTTTGAAAGAAACTCAACTTCATGTTATCAACAAAACTGACTATTGTTCTGTTTTTAAGAACTTATGTATAGTGCTCAACACTCTGCTGCCACTTCAGAGTACTTGAGAATGTGCTTACATTTCAGTGTATGACTATAGGACAGAGGGCCAAACATCTTTGGCTTGTGAGCCACACACCATAATTGGAGACCTACTGGAAACATACCAAAAACTTTTGGAGCATTCAGGGAACTAAGAGTTTCAGGAATGGCTGAAACATGGTGCCTTTTCAATTTGCTTCCCACTACTTTGTTGTCATAGAAAGGAATGGAGTGTGCACTGAGGTTGTAAGTGAACCCTGTAATGTCAGCCTAACGTGTTTTCCCACTGCTGAGGATTCAAATTAGTGAGTAGCAAAACACTTTTGTTGCTTGTGTGACATACCTCTGACACAGGAGCCACAACTTAGGGATTTGGTAGCCACAGGCAGCCCAAGAGTCATAGACTGGTCACTGCTGTAGTAGAAATTTATGCTGTTTCTGGGCCAGAGTATCAGTGTAGGGAGTGATCAAGCCCTAAATGAGGAAGAAAACCATTCTGAATTGTAGCTGTTTCCAGAATTAGTACCATATTGGAATTGTCCTTGTTCATTCCTTTACTGAGCTCTTCTTAGAAATACACAAATATTGGTGGAGGAATGGAAAACAGTCAAAATTCTGTAGCACGTAAAGAAGCAGCAAAGAAGAAACAAAATGCTGTGCTTCCTTTTCAAAGCCAAAAAAAGCATAAGGTAGCCTAGGAATCAGACCCCTGCTTATGCTTCAAATAAGATACTTCATGCTGACAAGAGCTCCCAGATTTCATGACCTGTGACTCTCTATTAGCATCACACATTCTTTGCTATCCACAATGCACTGTTATCATCAGCTTTTTTATGAAAAGCATTTTGAGAGTGTAATTTCCAGCTGCTTACCATAAACCATGTATGGTCTGTACACTGCTGCTTTGAAAGTGATAATGTAGCTGGGAGTGCATGTCCTAAAAAACACCCTCACAGCATGTTTATTGGCAATTTCAACCCAAAAGTTAGGGTCTGAACACACTAAAACTCTGCCATGTTATTTTCACTTATGGGGAAAATGCTGCAAATTAGTGGTGAGGCAAAATGGTAGGAAGCTTAGATCACCTTTGGTAAAACTACACCTGTTTTTTAAAATACAGAGACTTCAGATTAGTACGTGTGAAATATAGTAATGTAACAGCTCTCAAATGTCAAGGATATTAGAAGGACATACAGGTACATGTGTCTGACCACAGACAGAGAGGAAAGCCTGCAATATGCATTCCTCCTTCAGCAATGTTATACATGTTGGACAGTGGGAGTGCACTCTGTTTTACCTAGATGAAATCACACAGGGAGTTTTAAGCAGACCATTATTACTCCATTGAAATTGAAGATCCAGGTAGTCACAGTTCCTTACTCTTATTGGAATTTGTAATTCTAATTATTTCATGTGGATGAAAACAATGCAATGAAAGTATGCAAACAAGCTCTTGCTAAGCAAACAACATTTTGAAAATAAATAGCAAATAAAACCAACCAAGTTATCTGGGTAACCAAAAATGTTTTTGCAACTGATAATTGTCACTCAAGGAAGAGAATACCAGCAGTGACTGTTGTTAGCAATGTTTTATGACTAACACCGCAATTTATGACAGAGCAGCGCTACACAGCAAAACTTACTGTAATTTTTAAAAGATTTTTATGTATCCCCACAGCTCAAGAGAAACAAAGGTACACTTTAGTTAGCCTGATGTTGTTAAATGCCCACAGAACTAGATGTAGACTCAAGAAATTGTGACCTTTTCATGGAAGGAATGCAAAGTGTTTCAGGAAAGATAAGGATTCATAAGGTAGTCAGTTCTCTTTTCTGAGACACTCTGAATCCATACTTTCAGGTGCTGTTTTTAGGAAGGTATAGGATAATGGTAATATGTAGTCAGTGTTAAACTGGTTTTGCCACCCATGTCCTTTGATTTTTTTTTAAACTCTTAAACTTTTTGGTTTCATCTAGTGTTAAGGAGGAGAAGGCAAGATGTTTCTATAAGGAAAAAAATAAAGACATTGTGTGAGACAATAATGATAGGGAATATGGTAAGACAAAAGAGGTGGAAAAGCTCTCCAGAAAGCAGATTGAGTATTTTTAAGTAGCAGAAGAAAGTTTTTGATCTTGTGTAGTGATCTTGACCTAAGGCTGCTGCAGTGGGGCATCTTATTTTCTCCCTATCAGATGGAAAGGCATATTATTGTGGCCATCCTATTTCATTTCTCCATAGTCCATTTATTTGTACTTTCTCAACACGTTTGGAAGACTTTGAAAAATAATCCTTTTCACTGAAGTTTTCTTATATCTTCTCTTTTAAATGTGTTCTGTCTATTACTATGGGAACATTGGGACCTTTGGTTCTTAAAAATATACGAGCTTAGCCCTGTCTTTGTTCCTGTCACCACTCCTTGTTTCTGCGATAAAGATACAGTCTTGCATTTATCCCAGTTTTGTACAAGAGAATTTATTCTCTGTGAGGACTCTTAAGGACATAAAATTATTATATGAAAGAATTAGAAATAAATATTCTTGGAAACATAATGATTTTTTTACATTCTGGGGATGATTTCTGAATTTTGATTGACCTTGTTAATATTTCTTTTGTTTTAAACCATGGGTACTATGATAATAACTCTCAGATTTCCTAGGTATTTACACTTTATGGCACTGATCTTGAAAGCTTTTCTTTGGGGATGGTTGTCTTGTCTGGAAAGGACTCCACCAGAAGCAGTGGGACTCTAATGTATGTAGAACTCAACCCAAGCAAAGGAAATTTCAGAGGCAGAAATATAATCTATAAACAAGCAAGGCATCTAGGCAATTTTGTGATTATAATACACGTCGATTTGTACAATTGTAGCTCAAATACTACATTTGCAAAAACTTTTCAGAAGAATAAGAGGAGTAGGTATCTTCATATGTACATAAACCTTTAGCCTAAATACTGTGTTACTTGACCACATATATTATGGAACAGTGCTATTAATTTAGCACAGTAGAAAAATTCCTCTTAAGCAAGAATAAGGGGTAAACATGAATAACAACACTACCGATATATACAGTCAGTCTTTTGTCAGACAATACGTTAAGTATTTCTATAACAAACACAACTGAAATCTTCAGACTGGCTTGTAATTAGGCTCCTTTCCAAAAGTAATCCATTAATACAATTGCTGCCCAAATCCCAGTTCAACTTAATTTCACTGACTTTGATTTTTGGACTAAAAGCATTAAGCTTGAACTAGTGAAAAATGTACAAAATGTGCATTCAATTAAGGAGTAATTAGATACTCGATCACCCTTACATCACACTAGGGATTATCCAAGAAAGAAGAGAGATACTACTCACTGCAGTGTATAAAACAGTTTTCTTAATTAGTTTAGCACTAATTGAGATTGAGAAAGTGTCACTGTGTCATAGCGTTAGTTTGCCTACACGGAACCTTAAGAACACAAAGTTTTTGGCTTCTTTGAGCTTCCTTGCTCAGATTTTTCAGTCTAATTCCCTGATCCGGTATCTTCTGTCCACACAAGAGGAACCTTTCTCTTCAGTTCAGGGAGGGGGTCGGTGCCTGCACCCGTATATCAGTAGCTGACTGAAAAACACGCAGAGAGTTTTTCCAGAGATGGAGAATAACTTGTTATTATTTCATGGTTTTTTATGTTACACCTTTATACCAAACCCCAGGAAGAACTGGGAATCCTCTGTGTTTTTACATGGAGAGTAACTGTGGCTAAAACCAGCTGCTCTGTGAAGGGTTTACAGCCTCCCTGAGAAGGCAGCTGGTAGAAAGTTCTTCAAGTTGACCATCAAATGGTCCTGCTGCCAGTCACCATGACTTTTGGGGGTATTGGATGATAACCAGGGAGCACATGGAAATCATGGCACAGATTATCTTGTGGGTAGACACTGACTGCTTAACAGCACTGCTGGTGACTGACAGCCTCTACATTCCCTTCCTCTTTAAGAAAAAGAGTGGGAACTCTCTAGAGATGTGTTGACTCTTCCTGCAAGCAATTGTAGCTCCAGGTGACCATCTGCACCCAAGCACTTACAGATTTTTAGTGTGTATATACTGAGTTCTAGTTAGCGCTAAAATAACCTCAGGAAAAAAATGAGATTATTAGTACAACAGAATGAAATGGTTTGGCACTCTCATACCTGCCGCTTCTGAACTGAGAGCACTGGGGCAACCTGAGCAGCTGATTTCCTGAGGTTATGCTGGAGCACATGAATATGTATTTGCATGAAATCAAGTATCGATTTATCTCTGCTGCTAATGAATAAGAATATTACTGCTATTAGGAGGGACAAATTGAGTGATTGCTTTCTATCTCCTGAGCCCACCTGACTCCCATGAGAGCTGCGTACTCAGCACTTCACTTGATAGGGCCCCTAAAATAGTAAATGGTAAAAAATTCTGACTAGTATATTTTCCTTTCTAGTTTACTGCCATGGTCTCTGCATTAGAATCAATTACCTGATTGATTCAGAAAGCCAGTTGTAAAGCTTTGTTTCAAGTTAATAATTTTACCACTCCATTTAACTTTGCATTTTCATTGCCATTTCCTCCATTGCTAGTAAATCTTCTAGCACTGGCTTTACCCTAAAAGAGAAGAATCAGGACCATTATGTCACTGAAGTGTATACCCTGAAACTGCCCCCACCTGCTGTCATGAAATCCCAGCTTTTAGTTTTCCCTGTCTCCCTGGCTGGACATAAACAGTCTTTCAGACCCACTGTGGAGGAATTTCAGTAACATAATTGTTCCATTCTCTTTTCAGAGAGGGGGAAGACAATGCTCCCACAGTGCCCTCAAATGAGAAATGGAAACTTTTGAGGCTGCTGCTTCAGTTGAACCACAAAGCCTGTATTGTTCATCTTCATCTAATTCAGCCTTGATAGACAGCTGTGACAGTTGGTCTGTCCGCATGGTCCAGTGAAATTCTGGGAATGGGGCTGTACATTAAAAGAAGAAAACACATTAAATCTTCCAATTCACGCTGTTAACTATTTTTAAATGGTAATTTTCATTGCTTATATAGTTTCTTTGCCATAGCATTCAATAGTCGTCTGTGATCCAAATAGTACTAATTTTAAGCTTGGTATGAATGTTAATATGTAGAAATACTCATTATTGTTTTGAATGTTAGATTTAATTTTATTCCGTATCATCTCTTGTGCTGTCAGTAACCATCTTTTCTGTAGAAGGGAGGTGCGTTCTGTAAAGTTAATAAAAACATTGTTTGTTCACAGAGAGTATTATACAAATTCAGAATTAATTTTTGGGCAGAAAGGACCACTTCTATGCCAAAGCTATGCACTTAACATGGTTTATCTGAATAAAGCTGAATGACAGTTGCACTACTAGGAATCTTGCTGAAATAAAGGACAATTTTGAAATAAGGAAAATTAACTGGTATAACAATAAACAGAATCAACTGGATTATTTTCTACTTGGCGAGTCATGGAACTTTGCAAAGAAATGTTCAATTCAGGCAGAAAATGATCAGCCTTTGTTCTCCTGTGAATTACGACAATTCCGTTTGTTCTGTACATTGCTGAGGATGGTGGCCTGGAGACCTGCTCTGCATGTCCTGGGCTCACTGCACGCAGCATGGGGATCGCCACGCTGGGCCACACATGCCACATCTGACAGAACAGAAAAGGGAACGGTAGTCTAAGCCAGCTAGTCAAGCTCATAGCTTCTGATTCCTGCAAAACACCAAGATCTGAAGGACAGAGTCAATACTGTGGTGGGCAATAGCCTTGATCATCATAGCTGTCAGTGAGGTCTACTTTACTAGTATGAGGAGGGCAGGTTTATGCAGAGACCTATGTGAGTGGAGGAACGCTGGAGGCACAGATGGCAAGCTCCAGGCCAGGGCACAATGGACATGCAAACCGAGGGTCACAAAGGGGAGGTTGCTCCCCTGGAGTGGATCGGTGAGTCATCAATCACAAAGTCATCACCAGGCAGTGGTAAATGCAGTGTCAGAAGGCATACTTAATCCACCTCGTCAACGGTTATGGGGAGAGCTGCTGCTGAATAATGAGTTACGAATTCTCCGAGTCATTTATGTGTATATTAGGGACAGCAGAAACAATAGGAGAAACCCACACACCACATGTGAGTTGGGTGAGGGGGAGTTGATAATGCTGACTACTTCATGCGTTCATAACTGTGTGTACTGCAGAAACACGTGCTTCCTTTGGAGAGACACACAGCTGCCCTTGACAGCATGCATTGCAATAAATGCACAGAAAACGTACAGCAAGCAGTCCACCATGAAGTCATCTGTTTATTTTGGGCTTAGGAGAGCAGCAATTGGCAAATTACTCCTTGGGCCTATAGAAACTTGTATTTCTTAGGGTTACGTTTAAGCAAGTCCCTCTCCACCTTCCACCCAAATTTAATGAAGTATAACCCTGTTAGTCAAGGGGTTCAAGATTTCAGTGCCGGTCAAAAACACGCTTTCCATCTGCAATGTCCCCAGCACTTCCATAATGTCCATGTAGCAGCTTCACTGGCTGCTGTCCCTCTTCCTTCAGCAATGACCCCCCAAGCAGCTGCAGCCAGAACCCAACCCCAGCGTGCTGGTGGTCACCAGAGCCAGGGCTCCCACCTGTCCATATCTTGCCATAGGGCAGGGAGGAGTCTCTGCAGGAAGTCTCCTGCAATGGCTTGCAATGGCTAGGCTGGACTGTCCGCGGTTTTTGACAGGAGCCTGATAAATTGTCCTAGTTGTCAGGTTTGGTACTAAAATCTTGAAAAAAACACCCCCAAACAAAGCCCTGTGAGGTGGAAGTCAAATGGTTTCTGCCAGTTGAAGACCTATTCCTATCTCCTTGTACCCAGTGATGAAGGAACCCTCCAAAAGTGGAGTGAACCATGTTCCAAACTTGGCAATTCCCAGGTTATATGCACAGCTTGTTTGGAAGATCATTTCCTTTTGCACACAACATGTTACTAGCTACTGAGTGTTAACTGACAGGAACTGTAGTATTAATACGGCAAATATTGACATTATGATGAAATCTGAACTAGATTTATTCTCTAAATAAACATGTTCCTTATCTTGGAGCTGGCTGATATTATTCTGGCTGTGAAATACAGATACATTGCAAAGCAAATGATGTAATGTCTCCACCAAAAAGTCCATTATTTCCCTTTCCTGTTCTCCCTTCCTGTGTTTGCTGTTCTTTCCTGCACAGCCTTGTGTAGTGAACTTCTAGTCATACAAATACTACTGCTGAGGAACTGAGGTTAGTAAATTTGTCTTAACATTTGTCAGACTGTTTTTTTCTAGGCTTGGCTTTGAAAGGGAAAAAAAGCCTACTCGTAAAAATACTTATAACTGTATTTTGTCTTTAGAACTAGATCTAATTATAACAACAAATTCATTCACAAAACACATCCATTCTAATTACAGATTGGTCAACCCACTTTTGTGGTGTGTTGGGAAAAGTTAAATTAGTCTTTCTGGTTTCAGTAGGAATCTGCAGGGAGGAATTTGCAGGAAGGGCTCTCTGTGTATTGCTTCAGTTGCACTGCAGCCACGAGAAGTTTTATTGAGTGTGACGAGGCTCTGCTGCTCTCCAATTAGAGTTCCACATGCCTGCCTTTGTATTAACATTTTTAAGAAATCATAAAAACTGGTAAAGGTGTTCTGAGGGTGGTGTAAGGCCCTAAATTAATAATTTCCTCTTCAAGCCTACAGCTGCTAGAATCCTTCTGAATCAGATTGCTAGTTGCACTGGAAGTATTTTTAAAGGTAAGTATTAATGTGCGTAATGCTCCACATCATTTTAAATATTTATTATTGTCGTGCTTTAACCCCAGCCAGCAACTATGCCCCACACAGCCACTCACTCACTCCCCTCACAGTGGGATGGGGGAGAGAATCAGAAGAGTGAAAATGAGAAAACTTGTGGCTTGAGATTAAAACAGTTTAATAGGTAAAGCAAAAGCTGTACATACAAGCAAAGCAAAACAAGGAATTAATTCACCACTTCCCATCAGCAGGCCCGTGTTCAGCCATCTCCAGGAAAGCAGGGCCCCATCACACGTAATGGTTGCTTGAGAAGACAAACTCCATCACTCCAAACTCCATGTCCCCCCCTTCCTTCTTCTTCCCCCAGGTTTATACACTGAGCATGACGTCATATGGTCTGGAACATGCCTTGGGTCAGCTGGGGTCAGCTGTCCCAGCTGTGTCCCCTCCCAACTCCTTGTGCCCCCCCAGCCTCCTTGCTGGTGGGGTGGGCTGAGAAGCAGAAAAGCCCTTGACGCTGTGTAAGCACTGCTCAGCAGGGACGAAAACATCCCTCTGTTATCAACACTGTTTCCAGTACAAATCCAAACATAGCCCCATGTTAGCTACTGTGAAGAAAATTAAGTCTATCCCAGCCAAACCCACTACAATTAGAAACGTGAATTATAAGTTTCCAAGAGGTGTTGACCAGTTACACACTTGTTGATCAAGAAATCGATAGGCTGAGGCCAATCATATGAAGTTCAACAAGGCCAAGTGCCAGGTCCTGCACTTGGGTCACAACAACCCCATGCAGCGCTACAGGCTTGGGGAAGGGTGCATGGAAAGCTGCCTGGCAGAAAAAGACCTGGGGGTGCTGGTTGACAGCCGGCTGAATATGAGCCAGCAGTGTGCCCAGGTGGTCAAGAAGGCCAACAGCATCCTGGCCTGTATCAGAAATAGGGTGGCCAGCAGGAGCAGGGAAGTGATCGTTCCCCTGTACTGGGCACTGGTGAGGCCGCACCTCGAGTCCTGTGTTCAGTTTTGGGCCCCTCACTACGAGAAAGACACTGAGGTGCTGGAGCGTGTCCAGAGAAGGGCACCCAAGTTGGTGAGGGGCCTGGAGCACAAGTCTTATGAGGAGTGGCTGAGGGAGCTGGGGTTGTTTAGCCTGGAGAAGAGGAGGCTGAGGGGAGACCTTATCACTCTCTACAACTGCCTGAAAGGAGATTGTAGCCAGGTGGGTGCTGGTCTCTTCTGTCAGGTGGCTGGAGAGAGGACAAGAGGAAATGGCCTCAAGTTGCGGCAGGGGAGGTTTAGGTTGGATATTAGGAAAAATTTCTTTACTGAGAGGGTTGTCAGACATTGGAATAGGCTGCCCAGGGAAGTGGTTGAGTCACCATCCCTGGAGGTATTCAAAAAGTGCGTAGACGGGGTACTTCAGGACATGGTTTGGTGGGCATGGTTGATAGTTGGACTTGATGATCTTGAAGGTCTTTTCCAACCTAAATGATTCTATGATTCTATGAAATTAATGACATAATATTTAAAAGCAGCTATGTGCCTCATGAGGCAAAAGCTGGATCTGCAGCCTTCTGGTAAACTTCAGGAAGGTATTGGGAATAGGGAGAAATCCAGCTCTTGGGAGAAGGCAGGTGAGTTGGGGCAGGATGTCTGCTGTTGATGATCTTCCCTCTGCAGGTGGCATGTTCTTTGGGTTCCTTTGTAGTTTTCTGGAGTTCCCAGGAAAACTTAGAGGCTTTAAGGTCTTAGCTTGACTTTAGACTACGGTGTGATGTGCTTTGCACCCTGGGCTGTGATCCTAGGCTCCTGCTTATTCAGATTGGAGGAGCCTCTTAGAGAGCACCATGCCTCCCTACGGCTGCCTTCTGCCTTGGCTCCCACGTTTCCTTTGTGTGAAACTCATGGCATAGGTGGAGCAATAATGAATACTAGGCCTGTTCCCAAAATACACCTGAGAGTTGACCAGGCATAAACTGGTGTGGGTTAAAGGATAGTCTTGATCCCAGACATTACAGTGGCAAGCATGGTATGGTAGCTGTGTATAGAAACAGGCATGTATAGAAACTGAGTCTAAGAGGAAGTAAGAGTGCTCCCTGGCCAGCATCCCTGTCTGTCTCCTAAAGGTCAATTCATTGGTGTTCCTGAATCCCAGAGGGTAATTAGGCTACCATTGCAGAAGAGTTAAAAGTGCTTAACAACAGGGCAATATAAAGAAAAAGTTTTTACTGAGAAATTTCAGCTGAATTTTGCTGAGACTGCAGAAGCAACGAGGTGGGGGAGATCCATGCACAGGGAGCTTCACAAGAAGTTATACACATCCGCATTCTCCACAACCTGCCAGGGTGCAGCTGCCATAAGCTCAGACTCGCCTTTATTGAGTTTGACTCGTGGGCACAGCACTGGTGCAGTAATGGTCTTGTGCAAATTAATCCTTTCATGCTTGTCACATCAACTGCAGTGAGAATGAAGAGAAGCTT